CCTCCAGCATTTGTCATGTCCCTTTTTTGTCAACTTTGCTAATATAATGAGGGTGAAGTAGAACTCAGAGTTGTTTTAATTTGCATTTCTCTAATTATTAGTGATTTAGATTCCATAGCCCACTTATTGGTGGCATCATACAACTTCATATTTAATTGACCCAAACGTGGCATTAGGAGAAAACAGCAACACAGTCCCAAAATTGTTCAAATTATTTATGGAAAGGTGCAATGAGCAGATGTGCAGAAAAAGCACTAGATGAAGAGTCAGAAAATCTGAATTCAAGTTTCGCCTTTGCTGCTTATGAATTGTGTGAGTCTAAGTCTAAGGCAAGTGATTTGACCTCTGTGGCCTCAGTTTCCTAACCTGGAAAATGAAGAAGCTGTATTAGATTATTTTTAAGGTCTGTTCTAGCTCTTAAATTCTATCTTGATAGCTAAGGAGAGGCATCATGGTGTAGTGAGAGAGCTGGACTCAAAGCGAAGGAGATTTGGGTTTTCAGAGAACCGTGGCTTTGCAGCTAGAGGACCCAGGCCCAAATTTCACCTCTCATGATTACTAATTAAATTTACTTTACCTTGGGGAAATAAATACATCTTCTGAGGTCTCAGTTTCCTCATCTACAAAATGGGGGGTCATGGTAGATGCCTCTGAGGTCTCTCTTCACTCAAAATCTATGATCCTAAGAACCAACGTTTTTAAGATCGAGAAGGAGCTCTGTTTCCAAAGCCAACATCCCAGCTGTCTGTGGTGCAGGGAACATCCTATTCTTGGACTATCAACCCACACTTTTTACTAAAGCTAAATTCACTAAAAAGTCTGTGTTTTAAGGGAGGGGAAAGGCCTCAGAAAGTCAGCCTCTGCTGATTTCCTGATTGATAGATATTATCATTGCTTCAGGCAAAAAGTGACTGCTTTTTATAAGAAACCACTAAGCTCAAACCTTATGGCTTCTTCTACAGGACAGAGAGGGGAATCAGGGAGGGGCTCAGGCTGTGGAAGTGAGTCTGATGCCATTTCAGAATCACAGCAGGTAGCACTGGGACAAATTCTTCTCTCAGGTCCTCTGGGCTCCACAAACCATTCTACCCTGAGGCTAAGCCTGGGGGACAACAGCCAGAAACCTCTTTTTCTAATAAAATTCACTCCAATCTACTCCCAGCAGGACAGGACAAAAACAGCAGGGAAGCTTTGTTAGTGCTTTACATCTAATGCATTGATCGTGTTATTATTGAGGACGACCGCTCTCATCATATGGCATCCTGGCCCTTCTAGACCGTAAAAGGCAAAGGCAGCCCTCCTTCCCACAGCACACTGTTCTGCCCACTGTAGGCTTGATAAGAAGCTCTTTCTGACCCCCCTTAACATTAGTGCCTTTTCTCTGTGATTACCTCCAGTTCACCCATGTACATTTTGTTTGTACATAGCTGGTTACACATTGCCTGCCTCCCCCCTTTCCCCCCCTCCATTAGATTATGAGGTCCTTCAGGGCAGGGACTGTTTTTTGCATTTCTTTGTAACCCTAGCATTTAGCACAGTGCCTGGCACATAGTAGGGACTAAATAAATACTTGATTTGACTTCATTGTAGGTGCTTTGTAAAAATCTGTTGCATTGGGGGCAGCTAGGTGGCTCGGTGGATAGAGCCCTGGAGTCAGGAGGACCTGAGTTCAAATTTGACCTCAGACACTTGATGTTAACTAGCTGTGTGACCCTGGGCAAGTCACTTGACCCCATTGCTTAGCCCCAACCCCCCCAAAAAAATCTATTGCATTGAATTTGTGAGTCCCATTTCCCCACAAGTTCCAGGGAGTAGATTAGACTTGGTCAACTCTTTTTCAGGTCAACTCCACTGCCGCCATCCACCTACTACCTGAATCTTTATTCCCCAGGTGCTGTTTCCTTTAAAGCAGGGCTTTTAATTTCCAACTCAGGCATACAGATCGGCCGAAGGAAGAAGCATAAAATAAACACTGTAGCTTTTTGGCATGCCAAATGCACTGGCAACCTTTAAAGTCTTCCAATTCCAGGATAATAGAGTCAGTTAATCCTTAAGCAGAAAGAAAAAACAGGCAACTTTTGTTGCTGCTGCTGGACAGGATTCTAGATTTCATCAGCATAGGGGGCTCCAGATGAGGAATTCCTACCAATGCAGATACGGATCCTTCTTTCAAAGCTCTTCATAGTCCTAGAAAATTGCCTGAGGGCAGTGAGAAGTTAAGCGACTTACCCAGTCACACAGCCAATGTTTCAGAGGCAGAACTCGAACTCAGATCTTCCTGACTGATGCTAGCTCTCTAACTTTTACATCACATTGCCTCTAAGGAAGGGAAAGACTACCTGGATCAATAAAACTGAAAACTCCCAGCAATCATGGAGGTCATCAAAATTTAAAATGTCACACTCATTCCTATGATTAAAGACAGGTTTTTCAAAAGAGTTTTTCCAAGAAGCTTAGAGGGATAGTTCTTGGTCACTGAAATGATTGCCCATCATAAATAAAATTGCAGTGTGCCAGAAAGGATAGAATCTCAAATCCAATATTAACTCCCTGTGTGACCTTGAATAAGTCACCTGCCCTCTGAGAGCCTCAGCATCCTCATTTGCAACAGGAGAGGCCTTGGAATCTCATCATCTCCCTTTCAGTCTATCAAATTCCTTTGAACCTCAACTCAAATGCCACTAGACTAAATGGACTAGATGATAAGGTTCCTTTCATCTCTGACTCTTTTATTATTACCTTTAGAGTAAGCTAAGAGCTGGAGACCAAATCCAGGACTTTTATTTTTTTTTTTTCTGTTTCTGAGGATTAGATGAAACAGAATTAAAAGGGTTCAGGGAAATTCTCTTACCTTGCTGCATAACCTGATTTCACCAGAAGGAAAGAATAAACATTTATTTTATTTTTTTTTTTTTGGTGAGGCAATTGGGGTTAAGTGACTTGCCCAAGGTCACACAGCTAGTACGTGTCAAGTGTTTGGTCTGAGGCTGGATTTGAACTCAAGTCCTCCTGACTTCAGGGCCGGTGCTTTATCCACTGCGCCACCTAGCTGCCCCAGGAATAAACATTTATTGAGCACTTAACTATGTGCTAGTCATTTTACAACTATTATCTCATTTGTTCCTCACAACAACATTGGGACTAGGTGCTATTATTATCCCTATTTTACAGCTGAGGAAACTGGAGTAGATAGAGGTTAAGTGACTTGCCCAAGGTCATATAGCTAGTAAGTGTCTGAGGTAGGATTTTAATTCAGGTCTTCCTTGCTTTTTTTTTTTTAATTCAAATCTATTTACTTTAAACATTTGTTTTTTTTTTTTTAATTTGAGTACTGAATTCCCTCCCTCCCTGTCACCCCACCCCCATCCATTGTGAAGGCAAGAAAAGTGATGTCAATTATACATGTGAAATCATGCAAAACATATTTCCATATTAGCCACATTGCAAAAAAAAAGCAAGAAAAATAAAGAAAGTGAAAAAAAATGTGGTTCAATCAGCATTCAGACTCCATCAGTTCTCTTTCTGGAGGTGAATTGCATTTTTCATCATAAATTCTTTGGAATTGTCTTGGATCACTGCATTGCTGATTTGCTAAGTCATTCACAGTTCATCATCGTATAATATTGCTGTTACTATGTACAATACTCTGATTCTGTTCGCTTCACTTTGTATCAGTTCATGTAAGTCTTCCCAGGTTTTTTTGAAATCCACCTGCTCATCATTTCTTATAGCACAATGGTATTCCATCACAACCATAAACTACAACTTGTTCAGCCATTCTCTAATTGATAGGCATCTCCTCAATTTCTAATTCGTTGCCAACACAAAAGAGCTGCTTTTAAAGTTTTTGTACATATAGGTCCTTTTCCTTTTTCTTTGATCTCTTTGGGATACAGACCTAGTAGTGCTATTGCTGAGTAAAAGGCTTTGCATAATTTTATAGCCCTTTGGGCATAGTACCATATTGTTTTCCAGAATAGCTGGATCAGTTTACAACTCCACCAACAATGCATTCGTGTCCCTATTTTCCACAAGTCTTCCTGATTCCAGGTCCAGCACTCTATTCACTGTGTCATCTAGCTCCCTCTAGAGAGCTGATCTAAAACCTATTAGAATAGCTTCTCATTCAATGGCCTTTCATTATTAACCTCTACTTGTATCAAGGCCACAGGTCTGATTTCTGGGATTCCCCATTTTATCTTTCGAGTTAAGTTCTTGTATTTTTTTTTCCTATCCTTGCTTTACCCAAATCCAATATGGTGTTATACAAAGAACATCAGATTAAGAGTCAGAAGACCTGGTTCAAATTCTGACACTGATCCATCCTTACCATAAATTCTATCAACTAAGACTAGGCTTGGCCAAAGCCACTTATAGGCAGTAGGATCCAGTAAATAGTTCTGGATTTGAAGTCAGGAAAACCTGGATTCAAATTCCATGTCAGACACTTATTTGCTGTATGGCCCTGGGCAAACAATCAACCAATTGACAAGCATTTATTAAATGCCTACCATGTGACAGGCATTGTACTAGGTGCAAGTCACTTAACCTACCTGAAGTTCAGTTTCCTCATAGGTAAAATGAGGCAGTTGGATTCGCTGACCTCTAACATTGTTTCCAGTTCTAAAGCTATGATGCTCTGATTCATCTCAGCCACACTAGGAAAGGCCCTGGTATGGGCAGCTAAGAAAATTCTTGCTACGACATCTAATTAATGGGCATCTAGGTGGCACAATGGATAGACCACTAGGCTTAGAAGATTCATCTTCATGAATTCAAATCTGGCCTCAGATACTTACTAGCTGTGTGTGATCAAGTCACTGAACCCTGTTTCCCTCAATTTCCTCATCTGTAAAAATGAGTTGGAGAAGAAAATGGCAAACCACTCTAGTATCTTTGCCAAGAAACCCCAAAATGGAGTCACAGAGTTGGACATGACTGAACAATAACATGGTATCTAATTAGGGACGGTACCAAAAGTAGATACAACAACAAGTTGGTTTGTATAACACTGGAGTTTTTATTGAATGTGATAGGAAACAAGAGAAGTCACCTGGATGGGGCTTACAGTACAAATGGAGTGCCTTCTAACTCACAGATTGTCCTAATTTCCTATACCTTCTGGTAAGGAATGTTGGGAGGAGAGAAATGCCCGCTTTCTTTCCATCACCATTCTTGGACAAAGGGGCACTTCAGCTAAAAGAATAGTTTCTTCTGGCTCATCCATCCTGATCCCCTTCTGGAGTCAAACTGTGCCTCAGTGATGGGAGCAACGTTCATCCAGCAGCGAGGATTCCATGGCATGAGTTACATAGTTGGCCATATAAAAGGCTAGTGGAATTCTACCCCTGAGGTTCCATTTTTGGGGAAAGGGGGAGCTGTGGCACTCAATTCAATAGTACTCTGCTTTTGAGGAGGGGGAAGTAAACTGCTGGTGTTTTTTCCTTACCCAAGTTTTCCTTTCCTTGCTCCAAGAGTCATAATGAAAGGGGTGTGAGAAGTATTCCACCATTTTAGGAGATAGCTGGTAGATTCTGTGACCACTGTTACATGATGACAAGGCTGACAGAGGGCTGGGCGAATGTATCATGGAGCACAACCACAGAGAAGAGAATGATCCTGGGGGTCCCTCCACCACATCATTGGAGAGTACAGTAGAGACAGAGTAGCATCCCTCTCCTGCCTACTCAACCTAGTATCATTGTAGGGCAAGGTGGAGGATGCAATCTGCCCCTCAGTGTGGAGCAGGAGACAGCCAGTAGAATAAGGCAAAGATCCAGTTTCCCAGCCACGACCCCCGCACACGCAGGAAGAGTTCATGCAGGTTGATCTGCCATAAGCTGAGGGACTCCTCAAGAGATATCTGGGTCCTCTTGAGCAATGAGCAAGTCTTCTTCTTCTTGTGCCTGAGGGGAGAGAAAAAAGTGGAGGGGTAAGACAAGTTAAAGATGGTTGCATTGGTCGCCATCAACCTGCCAGCCACGATTCCAGCTTCCAAGTTATCAGCATCAATATTGTGATGGTCCTCTCAAATGAGGTTGCTGGAGCAACTCTGTTTTTTCCCTCAGGCATAATTTTCTAATAAGGCAGAGGTGCTCTTCTACCCTTAATAAAGACAATAAATTCCCATCTACACAATGATTCCCCAAAACTCAGCCATCATTAGGATCGATACAAATTGATCCCTAGGCTTTCCACCTGTCATATCCATAGCAGAGTATGATAACTTAGGTTTGTTTAGGATGTCCTTGAGGTACTTCAAGGTAATAGAGGGTTTCAGATCCATTGTCTTCTGGATTCCTAGAAAGGCAGGAGGATAGATTCTGGTTCATTCTAAGGAAGAACCTCCTAACAATTATAGCTGTCCAAAAATGAACTAGGCTGCCTTGGGAGGGGGTGAGTTTCCTGTCTCTGGAGGTCTTCAAGCTGAGGCCTGTCAGGGGCAGGTGGAGGGGATTTATGCTTTGGGTAGGGTTGGATTTTCAAATCATTCAAGTCAAGGGTAATTCACATGAGTTTCTATTCAAAGGGTATTTTGCTGGATCTTAGTTCTTTCAAATTTGGCATTCTACTTATGGTGATTCTTAATTTAATTGGTTGAACTCGTCATTCTTCAATCACTCTGGATAAATAGGGGTTTTCATCCTGTCCAGGGGATAATACTTCTCAGTTAGTGATTGATCCTTTTGATCTATCAGGGTTTTAATGTTTAAAAAAAAAAATTAAAAGTCCTAAATCCCCCTTCCTTTTGCCACCCAGCAGTATAAGAACATTCTGTTTCTCAAAGAATCTTCAGAACTGGAAGGACCTTCCTCAGAGATCCCCTAGTCTAACCTCTACCTAAAGCATAAATCCCTTCTATGTGCCCCACAGCAAAACCATTAGTTTCCACTTGAAGGCTTCCAATGACCAGGAACTCACTACCTTACGAGGTAGCCCAATGCATTTTTGGACAACAATAATTATTAGGAGTTTCCTCCTTATAATGAGCCAAAAATCTGTCTTGCCTTTATAGGAAAGACAATGGATCTGAAACCACAAGAAATTCTGATAAGTTCAAGTTTATGAGACCATAAATTTAGAACTAGGAGGGACCTCAGATGCCAACCAGTTCACCACTCTCATTTTTCAGATGAGGAAACTGAGGTACAAAGAAGTTAAGTGACTTGACCAAGGTCACACAACTAGTATCTGAGGAAGGATTGGAACTCAGGTCTCCCTGACTCTAAATCTAGAGCTCTATCCCCTATGCTACCTCTCTATTCACAGCGGGTTTTTCCATCATATGATAATCTGCAAATCCCCCTCCCCCATTAGAACGTGGGCTCCTTCATGCGACCCACCTGTTGACACAGAGGTGACATACTCAAAATGCAGAATGAGCCATGCATTTTTAGATATGACCCACACAAGAATCTGTTTTGCTTAAGTATGCATATTTGTTAGGGAGCTTCTTTTTTTTGTTTGTTTGTTTTTGTACAATTGGGAAGGAAGTGAAAGGAAGACAAATGTTTACTAATTGTAAAAAATAATAAAGTTTAAAAAAAAGAATGTGAGTTCTTCATGAGCAGGGCCAGTGTCTTTTCTTTCCTTTGGTATTCTCAGTGATTAGCACAGTGCATGGCCTATACTAGGTGCTTAGTAAATGTTTGTTGACTGACTGACCAACCAACAAGCCAGGACCATAATGCCAGGCTCAGGTAATACTCATGTTAGGAGGGGTTTAACTCTAAGGGACCAAAGATAGATAAAGATAAATAATAGATAAAGCCTCTTATTCCCCACCTCTGGCCCTTATCCCCCATACACACACCTATGCTATTTATAAGTTTTCCAGTGACCTTCAGACCCTCCCGTCTTCATGACCTTCCTATTATTGTCAAGGCTAACCCCATCCTCCAAGTCACCCAGGCTCAAAACCTAAATGTCAGCCTCAACCTCACACTCTCCCTCACCTTCTACTTCCAAGTGGTTGATAACTCCTACTGATTCTATCCTTGCAACATCTCTTGTATATACCCCCTTCTTTTCTCTAACATGGGGGTGGGTAACCTGCAGCCTCAAGGCCACATGTGGCCCTCTAGGTCCTCAAGTGTGGCCCTTTGATGGAATACAGAGGATCTAGAGGGCCACATGTGGCCTTGAGGCCACAGGTTCCCCAACCTTGCTTAGTACTTCCACCATCTTGGTCCAAGCCCTCAATACTTCATGCCTGGACTACTGAAACAGCCTTCCGGTTAGTCATCCATTCCAGTCTATCCTCCATTCAGCTGCCAAACTGATGTTCCTAAAGCACAGGTCTGACTCTTTTTTACCTCGTTCCCCATCCCCCCAATTCAATAAACCTCGTTACATCCAGGACCAAATATAAAATTATCTGGCTTTTAAAGCCCTATATAAACTTGTCCGTTCCCACCATTCCAGTCTTACACTTTACACCCTTCCATGTACTATGGAATTCAGTGACAGTGACGTCTTTGTCACATAAGACACTCCATTTCCTGAATTTGGGAATTTTCACTATCTGTTCCCCATGCCTGGAATTCTCTTCTTCCTCAACTCCATATCCTGGTTTCCTCGGTTTCCTCTAGGTCCTTCCCACTTAAAATTGCACCTTCTGCAAGATGCCCTTCCCAAAAATATGTTCAATATGATTGTACATCAGACTGCTTGCCATCTTGGGGAGGAAGGAGGAGAGGGAGAAAAAAGTTTGGAACTCAAAATCTTATAAAAGTGAATGTTCAAAACTATCTTTACATGTGACTGGAAAAAATAAAATGCTATTAAGTTGGAGGGAGGGGGGAAGAAAGAAGCCTTTTCAAATGCTCCTTCATGCTCATGCTTTTCCCCAAAGATTATCTCCAATTTATTCCTGTATATATCTTGTTTGCATATAGTTGTTTCATGTCATCTCCCTCATGTCACCTCCCTGTAAGCTCCTCGAGAGCAAGGAGAGTTTCCCCAGCACTTAGCACAGTCCCTGGTGCATAGTAGATGACTAATAAATACTTGTCCAGGGGCAGCTAGGTGGCACAATGGATAAAGCACCAGACCTGGCGTCAGGAGGACCTGAGTTCAAATACGGCCTTCAGACACTTACTTGCTGTATGACCCTGGGCAAATCACTTGACCCCACTGCCTCTCACAAACAAACCCAAAAACCACCAAATAAATAAATAAACAAACAAATACTGGTCCATTTGACTTGAAAAAGATTAGTCTTGTTTTGCTTGGCCCTGGAGGAGCAATGAGTGGAGAGTCACTTTTAGGCTCAATATAAGAAAAAACTTTCTAATAATGAGTGCTATCTCAGAGTGGAATGGGCTGCCTAGGGAGATGGGATTTCTCCTTCATTAGAAAACTCTGAATGATCACTTGCTACATGAATGATACATGGCCAATGACATGGCCACTGAGGTTACCTCCAAGTCTGAAATTCTTTGATCTCCCTCTTCCCTGCCCTTCTTTCTGAGTTTTGGAAGTTGAGAACAAAGAAAAAGTGAGGAGGGCTAAAAAAAGGGAATCTTCTCTGCCCAATGCAGTGTTAAAACTCTTTGGGGGGGGTCTCTTTAGCGAAGTGGCCTGGAGACCATATGGGCAGCTAGACTTAAGCTTGAGTAAGACTGCAGAAGGGTCCCTGGGAACCCAGAGACTCACGCAGCTAGGGCTCGGGTACAGCATCGAGACATGTTGAGGAAGGAGCTGGCACTGGCCCGGGTAGACAGGGCTGTCTCGATCCCCCGGAGCAGGTCGTTAGTCTTAAGGATGAGTAACATCTGCCGGGGCACCTTGTTGAGGAGCTGACTAATCTGGGGGAGGTAGGCAGCAGCATTGTTTCGAATCTCCACATCCTGAGGAAGGAAAACAGAAAATCTGGAGTCAGGATACATGGGTCCAAATGTCATCTCTGCCACTTACTAGCTGTATGACCTGGAGCTCATCACTAATCTCTCTGAGTCTCAGGTTCCTCATCTGCATAATGGGCATGATTTATATATATCTATATCTATATGTGTGTGTATATATAATAGATATGTATATATAAGGTATATATGTGTGTGTATAATGTATATGTGTATGTATATACACATATACATACATACACATATACTATATGTGTATATACATCTATATCTATATCTGTATCTCTCTATAACACCTATTTGGCCTAGTGGATAGAGCACTGGATCTGGGGACAGAAGACCCGAATTCAAATCAGGTCTTCCCATCTCCAGATCCAGTGTTCTTTCCACTTCAAAAATCTAGCCAGTTCACAAGTCACTTAACCTCTCTATGCCTCAGTTTCCTCATCTGTCAAATGTGAATAATAAATGCAACCTCTTCCAGAGTTCTTGAGAGGAAAAAAATGAGATAATATTTATATGCACTTTGCAAACTGTATAATGCTCTAGGCATGCTATTGTTATTATTAATGCTGGTAAAGCACTTTCCAAACCTTACCACGTTATACAAACAAAAGCTTTAATAATAAAAATTATGATTGGTTGAGCAAAAGGCCCCGCCTCTGTCAGTGTGATACAGTGAAGAGTGCTGTTTTTGGAGTCAAAGGACCAGGGTTCAAATCCTTCCTCTGTCATTTACAACCTGTGTGACCTTGGGCAAGTCACTGAACCTGTCAAGTTTCCCCACTTGTAAAACGAGGGAGTTGGACCAGCTGGTCTCTAAAGTCCCTTCCAATTCTAAATCTATGAGCCAATTTTCTAAAGGTCCAGCAAAGGGAGTAATTAGGGAAATGAATCTGCAACACTTGGCCCGAGTTCCTAGATCCTAGGATACATTTCCCTAGGGGTGACAAAGGCTTAGTACCACTAGACCCAAGCCCCTGATGACTTAACCCCTGTGCCAGGGGCTCAGACCAGATGTTTAACATCCTCACACACCCAGAAAAAGTGAAGGAAGGATAACTATATTAAATTGAGCTGGATAAACTGAAAGAGCTTCAGCCTTCACATTGCCCCATAGTCCCACCTTAATCAGTCAACAAACATTTCTTGAGTGCCTACTATGTGTCAGTCACATAGTAGGGGATACAAATACAAAAGGCGTCTACCCCAGCCCCACTTTCTAGCCCAAGCTTCTTAAACTGTCTAACAGTCATTGGCCCTTTAAGAAGCATGTGCGTGCTGTTAATGCCTGAGCTGCTCCATGATTTGAAATCTCCTCCAGGCAGCTGCTATCAGACTGGAACATCTCAGCACAAAGCTAGACACCCAAAAAGCTAGTGTTTTCTCTCTCTCTCTCTCTCTCTCTCTCTTTCTTTCCCCCTCCCCCTCCCCTATCTCCTGCTCCTCTCTTATCCCAAACCAGCCACAATAATACCTTTGTGCCAGAATATGCCAACCATGCCAAACCAGAAACAGATCAGATGCCCACCCCCACCCCCACCCCACCCAGACATCATAGACTTAAAGCAGGAAGAGACATTAAAGGTACATAGGCCTTCTTGCTATTCCTTGAACAGGATAATCCATCGCCTGACTCCAGGGATTTGCACTGGCTGTGCAAATCCCATGGCTAGAAGGTTCATCTTCCTCTTCGGTCTCCTGGCTTCCATAGCTTCCTTTAAGAGCCAGCTCAAACCCTACCTTCTAAAGGAAGTCTTTTCTAGTCCCCAATTCTCATCCCCATGTTAGTTCCTTCCAACTGTTAGTGTCTTCCCTATACATATACATATGTGTGTGTGCGTGTGTGTGTGTCTAGATCGGTCTATAAAAATATAGAGATAAATATCCCATTTGTACATAGTTATTCTGTATGTCTCCTCCATTAGAATGTGAGCTCCTTGAGGTCAGGGACCCTGTTTATGCCTCCTTTTTTTTTTTTTTTTTTTTTTTTGGTATTCTTAAAACTTAGCAAAGTGCCTGGCACATGGACTGACCAACTATTCAAGTCCAACATCTTCCCTTACCAAAATCAGAGATGACCAGACTAGATTCTCTTGAGCCCTAGAGAAAATCCACGTAGAATATGAGGGTGGGGAAAGGATATCAGGTTCCATGGGAGGCAGAGAACAGGATAGGTCCTCAGACAGCCCATAGGATCTATACCAAACGGGCACAAGGAAGATACAAAAAACTGCCATTTGGCAGATGAATCATTCTACCTATGCAAAAGTTCCAGGATGGCAGAGAAGGATGCAAACGAAAACAAAGGCCTATTGGCAGAGTTCAAAGCAGGAGAAGATGTATGATAACCCAATGTTTTCTCTCTGTAATCTTACAGTCAGTTGAAATGCAATGCATGTACATATATAACCTATATCAATTTGCTTTGTCCTGGGGAGAAGGAAGGGGAGGGAGGGAGAGAGAAAACTTGGAACTCAGAATTTTAAAAAAAAATGAATGTTAAAAATGTCTTAAAATTGTTGGAACTGGGGAAAAATGAAATATCTAATTTTTTTTTAAAAAGAGGCACACAAAAAAAATACAATGCATGCATATACTGAAGGGACCACTTAGGAGTAGATTAGGATTGTCCAAGCAAGATGGGATGAGGGACTGAACTAGGGTGGAGGTCATGTGAGCAAAGAAAGAGAATTGGGTGCAAGAGCTATTGTGGAGAAAGAACTGACAAGATTTAGCAACCAATTAGAATGTGGGGTGAGGGAGAGTAAGGCGTCAGGGATGACTTCTAGATTATAAATCTGGATGAGAAGAAGGACAACATGGGTGGGGAAAGGATATCAGTCCCATGGGAGGCAGAGCACAGTATAGGTCCTAGGAAAGCCCTCAGGAACTATGCCAAATGGTATTTTTCCCTATTTCTAAACAGAAATAGGGAAGTTCAGAAGAAGAAGAGTGGTTTTGAGAAAAAGATCATGAATGTGTTTAGTTTGAGATGCCAATAGGACATCCAGTTCAAGATGTCTGATGGTAGTTGGTGACAAAGGACTAGTCTCTCAGGAGAGAGACTAGGTCTGGATATATAGATAATAATAGTATTACCAGCTAACTTTACAAAGTGCTTTGAGATTTGCAAAGAACTTTACAAGTGTCTGGGGCCGGATTTAACTATCTTCTTAGATTTGGGAGTCATCAGTGCAGAAATGATAATTGAGTTGATGAGTTCATCAAGAGAGTCCAAAGAGAGAAAAAGGTCCAGGACAGAGCACTGGGGTTTGCCCATAATTGGGCAGAATAGGAATCACGATCAAGCAAACGGGCAGGTCTAGCTGGTAGGAGAAAAGTTAAGAGAAACATAACGATATACCTAAGCTTAAAGTTTTCCCTTTCCCTTCTTAGCCCTCTTGGTTCCACATCCCTCTTGGAGGAACCACAAAGGAATCACAGAATCCTCCATCTGACTTTAGGGCCCTCCATCTACTCCACTAAGACCTGGCTATAGGGACAACTGATTCTCCCCACCACTGGAGGAGGGGCAAGGACCTACCTCATCGGCAGTGACTGGTGCCCGGCCAATGCCTTTGTTGACGGAGTCCCAGGACCGGGCTGTCAGCATACAGGCAAACAGGGGATAGAGATCCCCTGCCCCCAGCCGCTGACTGTATTTCTTCACACGTTTCATATCTGCCTTGATCAGGGCCTGCCAGAGGTGACAGTAATCCAGGCGAAACTCATCTGTTAGGATCTGCAGTCAGGGATGAAAGCAACAGGAAGTGAATCTCTCTGGCCCTCATGAACCCCAGAGGGGAATAGCCCCATATAACCCACCCTGCAGTCACGTCTCGCTGAAGATGTGATTGGGAGGATGGTGTCTCTGCATTCTAGACTCAACGTCCAACAGAAATGATGGTGAGGTGATTAAAGGCCCAAATTTGCCTGAGTTTTTTAAGGGACCACAAATTTAAGAGTGAGGCCAGGGAACTTGGAAGAAGGCCAGGAGACTCCTGGTAAAATCTCCCAATGCCATCCTAAAACCGGTACAATTCTCAGGCCACTGGGGATTTATTGGAAGAGATCTTCTACAAGACGAAATGCTTCTGTTTTGCAGAGCTAAAGCCCAGCAAACAAGCTGTGCCCTGAGCTTGGCATAACAACACTCCTTTGCGCTCAGGCTCTGGATGAATTCACCCTCTGGCAAAATCACATAATTACAGTATTGCTTTGACCAGCACCAGGTGTTCTCTGAGCTCAGACAGGTTCTGGTCACAAAGCCCTGCTCTGAATCAAACTTGTCTTGTTGCTGGTACACCTCACTGTCAGGGCTGCAGCGCACTGTGCAGTCATTGGTATAAATGTTGAGATTTGGCCACACTAAAGCGGGTCCCCCCACTAGGAGCGAGGCTCTGGCACATGGGTCTTGCTTGTAAGCCCTTTCTCTCACTTTCAAATTAAACTTCTGTTTGATTCCTGACCCTCCTGTCTCTAGCCTGCTTTGTTCAGCTCCGGCCACTCACAGGTTAGAGGCCAGTTTGGTCCAGTGGACACTTCCCTCACTTCTAGATACACACATAAATGGTCATCCCAACCCCTCAGATGGAAGGTGAAAGAGATGATGGGATTTCAACTTAAATGATCCTAAATAATCATGTCCTATCTCCTAGAGACAGATTATCTAGGCCAGGGGTGGGGAACCTGTGTCCTTGAGGCTACATGTGGCCTTCTAGGTCCTCAAGTGCCCTTTGACTGAATCCAAACTTCCCAGAACAAATCCTCTTAATAAATGGATTTGTTTTGTAAAACTTGGACTCAGTCAAAAGGCCACACCCAAGAACCTAGAAGGCCACATGTGCCCTTGAGGCTGCAGATTCCTCACTCCTGATCTAGGCCAATCTCCTCATTTGGTAGATAAAGAAATAGGCCCAGAGAGACAAGTGATTTACTCACCAGGGGTCACACATCTACTAAGTAGCAGAATTTGAATCTATATTTTATGACTAAATCCAGTGCTTTTCTCATGATACTTCATTTCACTCTCAAATGAATGGTGGAAAATCTCTGGTTTCCTAGCCATTATTCAGACAAGGTTGAACTCTTAGGAATTTCACTGAACTTCACAGTGGGGTGAGAAATTTGGGGTAGGAGCTGTTGACTTGGGGTATTTGCCCTCATGGCATTTGGCACTTAATGGAGTACCAGTTCTTACCACTGGCTCCTGGAGGCCTCACATGCTTCACATTAGGGCAGAACACGCATTGCCCTATGTCACTCTTCAGCTCAAAAACCTTCCTTGGCTCTCTACTGTCCACAGGATAAAATAAAAATCCCTTAAACCTGGCATTTAAGACTCATCACAATCTCACTGCAACCTCCCTTTCAAGTATTTATTTCACACCATTCTTTTTGTGCATTTCACATTTTTTTTTTTTTTTGAGGCAATCAGGGTTAAGTGGCTTGCCCAGGGTCACATAGCTAGTAAGTGTCTGAGGTGACATTTGAACTTAGGTCTTCCTGATTCCAGGGCTGGTGCTCTGTCCTCTCATCCATTCTTGAAACTCACCTAGTCCACTCTTGCCTCCACGCACTCATGCAGGTCATCACCCATGCTGGGAACACATGCTTTTCTCATCTCTACCTGTTGAAACCCTTCAGGGCTCATCTCAGATGCTACCTTCTCAATGAAACCTTCCTTCATCCTCCAGCTAAAAATCAACCTCTAGTAGAGTGGCATGTGTAGAATCCAGAAGACATTGAAACAATCCCAACCCTGGCTCTGAGGGTGAATTGTCACTCACCTGGTACAGTCCATGGTCCAACAAAATAATCTCCACCTTCCCTGTTCCCGGACGCTTCCTCACCAGCACATTGCCTGGGTGTGGGTCACAGTGTACAAAGCCATTGACAAAGATCATCTCACTGTACATCTTTCCCAATTGTCGGGAGATCTGAAAAAGAAAAAGGTTAGGAATGAAGCTCCCATTGGGCTACGACTGGAAGACTTACAAGCTGGGCCTTCCACTTTATTCCATCTGATCCAGTCGGTTAATAAACATTTATCAAGCACCTCCCCTGTGTAAGGCACTGTCATTACTGGAAGGAGGGGACAAAGGGACTAGAAGAGGTTGAGCATCAAGAAAACAGGTCTCATAGTGGAGTTGATGGCTGGTGAGTCTGCAGTTCTTGAGCTGAGGGTGTGTAGAGTGGGAGGGGAAATGAAGCAACATCCAAATCCTTCTTCAAGTGACGAAAATTGCTCTCTGGACTAAGTTGTTCAGTTGTTTTTTTCAGTCTCATCCTACTCTTTGTGACCCCATTTGAGGTTTTCTTGGCAGAAACATTGGAGTGATTTGCCATTGTCTTCTCCAGATCATTTTACAGATGAGGAAACTGAGGTAAACAGGGTTAAGTGACTTGCCCAGGGTTGTTTCTTAAATTCCTTTCCTAACCCTCAATTCTCTCCCCTTTCCCTTCTCCCTCTCCATTCTCCAACTCTCCTCCATCCCTTCCCTCCCCCACTTCTCAAGCAAGTCAGAAGGTGAACTAGGAATTGGTAGTGTGGTGGTAGTGGGAGATATCATTCCAGTTCCTTTTCATTCTGATCTCAAGCCCTATGCTTCTACACCCCCATTTCCTCTCCACTTCCTCTTAAACTGGTGAGGTGGGAATTTAGTCCTAAATATTTGCATGGAAGAGAAGCCCAGGGCTGCAGAAACACATGGACACTGTATAAGGGTGAGGCCTGGGGCTCTCAGGGCCAAAGGAATGGCAGAAAAACCATTCTCCAAAGAGCCTAGCTGGGGGGTGGATCAGAATTAGGAGGTGGGAGACAAAAGGCAACCATGCTTCTTGGGCTGCCAGGAAGGTAAAACCCTAGTCCTCAGATGCACCAGGGAATACCTGTCCAGTTGTTCACCAGGCCATGGCTTAATCCCCCAAGGGATTCTCAGCATAGAAGAGTCTGGATCAGATTCTAAGGGATGAGCAGAGTACGGTGCTTCTCTTTCCCTCCATGCACCTCTCTTCCATGCCCTCCCTTCCTGAGTCCAATGCTAATCTGATTTATTATGTCTGCACAGATGAAATGACACTGGAGAGGCCATTTAAATCATTCTGTCATTGCTGCCTTCCCCGCCCCCAGTGGCAGCCTTCTTATCTCTGCTCCGTTTTTATTAAAGCTAAAAGCCTTTCTGGAGCAAGGAAACACTCCCCCCAGAATAGAGTCGACTCTGGGCCCAGGATAGATCTGTTCATGTGTCTCCCCAGAACAAACAGATGCTTCTAAAAAGCAGTCTCTATATCATACACTTTACCCCTTTTCCTCCCTCTCTGGACCCAGATGAATGCCTTAGTGATTTACACACACACACACACACACACACACACACACACACACACACACACACACACACACACACACACACACACACACACACACACCAGGAAGACCAGAGAAGCCATGGATTAGTTAAAGGGAAGATTAAAATATAATAGGGGAAATGAGAATCTACTTGAATAAAACAAAATAGACAGTATCTCTCAAACCCCACAGCAAGTTTCTACATTCAAACATTTGACCACATCCTGCTATATCATCACAATAAAATGGCCAGGCCTGGCAGTTAAGGTTTCTAGCTTCCTTCAAGGCTCAGCTCACCTCCCAAGAGAAGTCTTTCCTAATTCCCGGTGGTGAGTGAACTCTCTTTCCTCATATTATCTTGTATTTACTTAGCTATTTACCAGTTGTATCCCTCATAGAATGAAAGCTCCCTGAGGGCAGGGACTACCTTTTATTTTTGTCTTTGGTGCCTAGTACATAGTAGGCCTTTGATAAATGCTTGTTGAATTTAACCGAATTTGCTACTCATGCCTGGGTTCTCACAGCGACTAGTAACCAAACAGTGTCCAGGTAGAGACAGAGAAAAAGACCTCCCACTATTGCAGTCAGACCCATTTGAATCCATTATCTCCTTGGTTTCGACCAACAGCTCTGGGAAATAGGCAAACAGCTATCATTACTCTATTACTATAATCCATCTTGCCAGTGTCAAGAACTTCCCTATTTTAGGCCGTCTGCCTCAGGTTCCTCATCTGTAAAATGGGAATAATAATAGCACCTACTTCACAGGGTCAATGAGATAATAAATGTAAATGCTTAGGACAGTGTCTGGCACATAATAACTGTGACATAAATCTTAAGTTATCATCATCATCATCATCATCACCTCATTCAGGCCTCATAATCCTGTGAGAGAACAGGCAGGAATTACCACACCTGTTTTACAGATGAGGAGACCTGGAGAGGCTCAGAGAGGTTATAGGACTTTCTCAAAGTCACATAGCTAGGAAATAGTGGAAGGGGGGAGAACAGGAACTGAGGAAGGGAAGAGGGTCTTCTGACACAAGGAAGGTGTTTGCTGTCGCCATCCTTCCCTAGTAAGGTCTGTGAAAGAGTTTCTGAATGTAATGGACTGGAAAAGAGTGTTGACATTCTTGGTCAGGAGAAAGGAAGGCTAATAATAATGATGATAACAACAACAACAATAATAATAGTTGCTAGCATTTATGTAACACTGAATATGTGTCAGACACTGTACTAAGTGCTTTACAATTATTATATCATTTGATTCTTAAAACAACCTTGGGAGGTAAGTGCTATTATCATACCTATTTTATAGATGAGGAAACTGAGGCTATCTATCTACCTATCTATCTGTATGTATGTATGTGTGTATATATATATATACACATACGTATATATATATGTATGTACATATATAGCCTTATGTATACATACACATATATAGCCTCATCTATAGGATATGCATACATATAGCCTATATACACACACATATATATATATTAGCCTCCTCTGTGTGTGTGTGTGTGTGCGCGCGCGTGTGTGTTTACGACACGTATTTCTAATTTTGCTGAACCTATGAATCTGAGGCCACCATAGTGAGGGTGTAAAATATTGTCTATCTCTACCCAACTCTCCTGCCCCTGGGAAAATCTGTGTGAAGCCCCCTATATCTCTCTGTGTGGTTTTTTCATGTATTTATTTTTGCTTATTAAGCTGATGCTAACTGTGTGGCCTGCTCTTTTTAACTCGAGCTTAATTGCAATATGTCAGAAAAGTAATAACTAACTAAATTATATCTTCAGTATTTTTTTTCAAGTTTTTCAAATTGCCTTCACACTATTATCTCATTCACTCCTCACAACAACTGTACACAACAGGTAGGGCAGGTGCCCTTCTGACAAATGAGGAAACTGAGGCACAAAGAGGTTAGTGACTTATCAAAAGTCACTGGACTCCTATTCCTGTGCCATACTACCCCCTGCTGCCTCAGTAGCCCCATAGACTTCTAGCTTGTAGCAAATTTCATTAGGTGAAATACTGATGAAATATGCTTTTCTTCCTTATGATGACTGGAAAACTGAGCCCTGACCTATAGCTTCAATTAAGAGTACAGCCTCTGGCCCAACAATTCCACATGCCTACCTATCCCTTTCCAGACTTCATCTGTTTACCAGCTGCTTTCCACCTTGCGGAAATTTCCCGGCCTGCTCTCAGGCTTGGAGACTTCCTAGCCCTGACCATTTCCTGAAGGCTGCTAGCCATGCTCACTTAGCACTCCCTGCTGGGGTCATCTCTAGTCATCCTGACCTGTATCTCGCCACTGGACCCAGATGGCTCCAGAGGAGAAAGTGAGGGTGATGACTTTGCACAGCCTTCTCTCACTCAATTCAATTGCAAGTCATGTCATCATCTCCCTGATGTCATGGTCCTCTTCAAGAATGAAGGAAAAACAACAACAACTTCACTCCCTACTCAACTCACTCTTTGGCCTTCTCTTCTCTCTTCACCTTGCCCTCTCCCCCTGCTTTCCAGATCTCCTTTATGTGTTATCATTTCGCATCAGGATACAAGCTTCTTGAGGCAGGAACTGTCTTATTTGTTTGTATTAGTATTTCCAGCTCTTAGCACAATGCCTGGCAAACAGTAAAGATTTAATAAATGCTCTGGCTAGTTATAGATCTATTTAGCTATAAATAAAATAGGGATTATAATATTTGCACTATCTACCTTATAAAACTTTTAAAAAAAAGTTTTTATGGGAAAAAATGCACCGTAAACCCCAAAGTATTTAAAGTATGAAAGACACAGGTGCTATCTTGCTGATCCCTACCTGCTAGGTTTCCATAGAGAGGATAACCAAATGAAGTTCATTTTGTGGTGTGGCAAAAAAAGGGATGATTGGGATGATTTGGATCAGCTTGATCTGCCGTACTGGGCTCTGTACTTTGGGGGCATCCTCAGGGCTGAAAGAATTAGCCTGAAATTGCACATTCAGAAGCAAGCCTTGGAGAGTGGATGGCTCCAGCAACTAGCACTGAAAACAGAATGAGATTTGTTGATGTACAATCAAGGTAACAATAGGTCTAGCAGCCAGGCAACAACCCACACACTACACATACTCTCCATACCCCACAAAGTCTAACAGGCTTCTGATCCACCCCTTTCCTGATTTCTCTTTCCCTTCAAGGCTACCCTTGATAGAACCATAATATTATTGATTTAGAACTGGAAGGGAGGGGAGAGGTCACTGTAGCCCAATACCCTTCATTTTATAGATAGTTCTGAGATAGTCACCACTACCCACAAGTCCCAGAACATTACAGGGCTTCCTAAATTAGACCCATAATCACTGAAAAGAATTCAAAAGAGTCCAATCTAGCAATCCCCATAGGAAAAACCAAGTATATAAAGGATGCCTTTTGTCCAGATGATGATACGCAGCCAGAAGGACAGGCTATACAACTTGTCTATCAGTATGTATCTCTTGAGCAGACACTGCAAAGGGATAATGTACTAAACAAAAGGAGAGAGAGCCAGACTGCCTTTGGGAAATTACAAAGTTCTTTTGATGACCCTAAGCTTCTT